GTTCATCTTGGCCCATTTTGGCCTGATCAACAACGGGATGCCCCTGGCATGTCTCTGAAGTAGCAACCCAAAAACGTTGGGTTGGCCATGACGCCCTACACGACGAGTAAAAAGTGGCCATGAGGTTCTAGTGGGATGATGAAACAAGCCAGCACGTACATTTGTGGAATCGAAAGGCTAGCGAGTTCGAATCATGCTGGGAGGCCATAGGTTGTTCAGTTACTATTTTTTAATACAATAGGAACTTTTCAAGCGAAAATTATGTTAATTATGTTTTCTTATGAGATAGGATAATGACAATGTTAAATGTTGATGTGTTGTACTTTCGATATGGCGGCCTTCCTTCTCTCCACGCGGGCAGCGAACCCTCACTCCATCCCGCGCTCGTCCAATCTACTCCTGCCCAACTCGATGTTGTAGCCATCAATGTGGAGCCAGCTAAGGCCGAGCGTTTGTCGCTCGCGCTACTGTCTTCCCATGTCTCGGTCATTTCACCTCAAGGAACTTCCATCTTCTCCGCGTATATTGAGATTTTCATGTAATGACACTTTTAATTCAATTATGAACGTCATCAAATAAAGTGTCTTCAAAGTTAACGAACATGACCTGCTACTTCGCTACGCCAGGATTGTAGTAAAGATAAATAACATTAGCCCTACCTGCTTGGCGAGCACCTATCCCCCTTAGTCTCATATTGACGGCGACTCGTTGAACTCTCAAACCCGCCATGCCCTCCTGTGTGACCGAAAGAAAATAGTTTTCTATGTCATTCCGAAAAACGACGGCGGTGGGTCGCAGGCGCCAATCGACATCACCATGCTTGTGTGTGCCATGATCATCTTGGATGGCAAACAATCCTTGGGTCCCATGTTTGCCTTTTTTGACGTGTGTCAGGCACCAATTTGCCAGTGCATGTCTGCTTTGTCGCCTAAAGCAAGTTCCCCCGTTCCCTCTAATAGGAATGCTCCTACTCCCCGACCCCAAAGTGCTCGGTTGCTGATCGAGGGCCACCTCCGAAGTCAACTTGATTGAAACTCATGCGACGACGACCTTGTCAACATGCTCAACATCCCATTCTGCCAGAGCCAATGAAGTGTTGCCCTTGTTTGCTAGGAATCCCCTAGAAACAATGGCTTGATCCTTTTCGAACTCTACACTCTTGCAGTGGTGGATATCCCACTTGTCCTACCTTAATCCGGAGCCATTTGGTAGGCTCTATCGGTCCCTTAGTTGTTGGTGGCCATTGGCTTGATCTTCTTGGTACGCCACCCCTCCTCTCCTTGATCCTAACTTTGATGGCGGACCATCTGGTGGGGCTCTAACAATCCATGTGTTGTAGATTGTCAGCGATAAACCGCCTATGAGCACTGGGAGGCCAACCTTAGATCTTGTGTCTCTAGAAGCTTCACCGTGTCACCTGATGTCGGTCATCTCCATGACTATTTTCGCCAACGTGGCATGCCCCCATGTAGTCGACCGAACCCAACCGCGTTTATTGGGCTACTGCTACAAGCCCTGCGCATTATGTGGGTCACTCTCAATCTGGTCTAGCTTGCTCCTCCCTAGCGGGTTTTATACAAACCATTCTACAGTTTGCTTAGGCATCGTTCCTTTCGCCTGCCCTCACTAACGTAGGTAGGGACTACTAACAGCTTTCACCCCTCCACGTAGTGGTCTGATTGCTAAGGCGCTGACCGAGGGCTGGACTCAAAGATGAAAGCTAAGAGAGTTATATTCCTTCGCCAAGGACTCATTCAAGACGATTCCCTGGTTAGTGAAGTGTTCCTTGCCAATTATACTCATCTTTTCCAACGACTGCTAGCCCAGGATATGATTCTTCCCTTCGCCAATTTCTTCGGGGTAGGAAGTACATGGGCGGCTAGGTCAATTTTGATGTGACTCTTATCTAGTTATGCCCACTTTGTTGAGGTATGAATTGCGCACCCCCTCACCCGGATTGAAATCCTTCTATATGGATTGCAACCTCGAGATCATCTTCTAGAACGTGTGAGTCCTCAATTGTGGAGCCAAGCACACCGATGTTTGGAGCGTTATTTTTGTGTTTTTGCGTTGCTTTTTCGCATAAACTAAGTTGGCTTTGATCCCGTTGGCCAGGGTGTCTAAAAAGCTAGAACCTCCGTTCGAGGAAATTTTCTTCCTCTTGGTGGATGGCACCAACATTGGTATCCTGCTCATGTGGCACCATTCAGAGATTTCTATTACAAACACCGACACAACCTCACATTACGCTCGTTTCAAATCTTCCATGAAACAAGCATGATGGGGAAGCAATCCTTTTTCTCATGCTACCGATGTGAATTTGGCCATTGAGCACCACAAACCCATGTGGATATGGATGTCGTCCCAATATTTTGTATGCAGATCCACTATCGTGAGCCAAAGCTTGATTTGCTCCCAAATGCGCACGGTGATACTGATACAATATGAAAATGATAATACTTTTATGTGTCGAATTACTCGGTACAATATTCTTAGAACAAACCCCTTTTATATATACAATTAAAAGGTTTTGTTTGATATATTGTGTGCTAAGTATTATTTTCCTATCAATGAACTTTACATTTGAATCTGGAGGGGTTTTCCATCATTTTCGAATTTTTTGAATCCGGAGATTTGAGGGCAACAGGCACACTAACTCATGTCTATATTCCTGCCCAAAAAAACTAATTCCTATATATGTTGTGACTGCAGGAATCACAAACACTCTACTGTCATGTTGTGGCAACCAAACAGTGCCATGCGGTAGACCTGGGTGCACCGTATGCGACGACCCATCCACGTACGGCTCGTGGGATGGGACGCACCCGACGGAGGCAGTGTACAAGGTGATCGCTGACGGTGTGCTGCACGGCCCACACTCGTCCCCTCTTCCTCTGGCCAAGACTTGCCCTCCCAGTTGAGGAAACCTCCCCTGGTTTGCTAATTTGTGAAGAAATTAGTCATTATTTCCGTAATTATGTAAAGAATTGTCTGATCATCTAATATCATGCATGTGTGGAATACGGTAATAGAGCGTCAGTTCATAACGTAGGCCAGCTTAATGTCCATACAAGTTTCGTGTACAAATGCAATGCCGTGTCTCCCTCTCCTCTATTGGATGTACAAGTTTGCACAATTATTGGTGAACGTGCGTGTGTAGCGTATTTATTGGGGAGTTCTCACCGTCACTTAAGGCAACTCCAATTGGAAGACCAATTTCATTTGGATATGTCCGTTTGGATTCGCGCGGACAAAAGCCACAGCCCCATGCAGAAGCACATTCATGTCCGTTTTAATCCATTCTCATCTTAAATTTGGATCAGATTTAGGTTGAATCAGACGTTGTCCATTGTCCGTCTGTGTCCGGCTTGACCCACCACCCATCCCTCCTATCTCTCTCCCCCACCCATCCACCTATCCCATGACTTCACCCACCACCCATCCCACGGGCGACGGAGGCAAGAGAAGAGCTCCTGCGCGTCAGTGTCGCCGCCGCCAGTGCAGCAGCAGCCGTCATGGACATGCTACCTCGAGGAGCTCATGGTGCTCCTCCGCAGGAGTCGTGTTGATGCCTCTGTTGTGGAATGACGATCTCCATGTCCGCCCATGTCCGTGTCAAATGGGTAGTGCACCGTCCGGACACACATGTTTGCCCGTCCACGAAGCGACCAAATCAGACAAAAATCAGACATATTTCGTGTCTGTTTGGGTCTCTTGGTTGGAGTTGCCCTTACGTTTGGGTCGTTCCTCCTGGTGGTCTGTGCAGTGCAGAAGTCACAGTGTTTTCGTGAGCTCCGTGATTGATGTTGTACGAGCGTATATCGTGGTTATGCAGGCGCAACGACTGCTGTGCCACAATCCACATGACCCGTGCCGCACGCCGCACGTACGCCTTCCTACCTTGGCCGCGCGTATATAGCTCTTCATTCTGTTGATCAGCCTGATCACCACACGAGGGAAGCATAGACGGACTTGTCATTGATCGACTCCGTGTCATCCGCAGTCTCATCTCGCACCGCGTACCCCTGGCGCCATGCAAGCCCTCGGGCGGCCCACCTCTGCGTCGGAACTGAGGGCGCTCGCCTGGACGACGCTCCTTGTTCCGATGTTCGCGGTCTACGCGCGCTACGCCTGCCGCCGCCTCCGTCCGGGCTGGCCCCGCCTCGCCGCACTCCTTCCGACGCTCCCCGTCTTCGTCTACCTGCCGTGCTTGTTCAACTCCTACCACCTCCGCCTCTTCTCAACCTTCTTCCACACCTGGCTCGCCGCCAACAAGCTCGTCCTCCTCGCGTTCGACCTCGGCCCGCTCAAACCATCCCTGCCCCTCCTCCCGTTTCTCCTCTGCGCCGGCTTGCCCATCAAGCTCCGCGAAGGTCCGCAGCCTACCAGCCATTCTGCGTCACCGGGACCGCCCGTCGCCGATTTCCTTCTCCCCTGCGGCCGCAGCGTTCTCTTCCTCACCGGCCTCGCCCTGCTCTTCCCACACACTGGTTCGCTCCCTCTCTACGTCGTCCACTACCTCTACTGCGCACAAATCTTTCTCACGCTCGATCTCGTCTTCTCTTCTGTCGGCCTCGTCGCCGCTGCCGTGCTGGGCTCGGCCATGGAGAGGCAGTTCAGAGCGCCGCTCGTGGTCGCGTCGGTTAACGACTTCTGGGGCCGGCAGTGGAACCTGATGGCGGTGGACCTCCTCCGCGCGTCGGCGTACAAGCCGGTGCGAGCCCGGTGGGGCCGGGACGCCGGCGTGCTGGCCGCGTTCCTCATGTCGGGCGTCCTCCACGAGCTGCTCTACTGGTACATGACGCTGGAGCCGCCCACGGGCGAGATGCTGCTCTTCTTCACGCTCCAGGCCGCTTTCTACGTCGCCGAGCGGTGGGCGAGGGTTGCCGGGCTGTGGCGACCGCCCAAGGCGGCGGCGTACCTTATTGGCACCACCGTTATGGTCGTCACCATATCGGAGCTCTTCTTCGGGCCGTTCATCAGAGCCGGCATAGACGTGCGTATGATTCAGGAGGCCGCCGATGCGGTGCAGTTGGTTAGGGCCGTGGCTAAGCGTCTCATCGTCCGTCTATTTGGGGCTGGTTCGAGTTAGAGACAGCTGAAGAGTAACATTCAGCTGTCAGGATATTTCGGGCTTTTCTTACCAGGTATAATCTGTGGCCGATTCTACTTCTGCTAAACAAGTTAAGGAAAGGTTTAGTATTGTTGTTAGTGAGGGTTCGACGAACTTTATTTCTCCCTGGGGATGTAACCTCTTCCTATTGGTCCAAATAAGTATGTCATGCCTTTCCTTTTTTTAAGACAAAATACTTTATTCTTTTGAAATGACAAGTACATCGTTTGTGAGAAAGGTTACAATTACATTTAAAGGCTCCTCAAACTAATCAAGAGGCAAATGAAATCTAGCCAGTCTAGCGAGCTCATGAGCGACCATATTCGCTTCTCTATTACAAATGCTCAAATGAAGAAATAGGGAAATCACAGCCAAAATGATAACAGTCGTCAAAATCCGTTGCCGTCGCCCCCGCAGATTGTCCTTCATTCTTCATGGTACCAATAATCTTCAAATTGTCCGAGTTAATGACGAGACGATTGCATACCGTCCTTTGTGTGATAGACAAAATCTGAGG